CCTTAGATTTCTTTCAGCTCTGTACAGCCTTGAAATCACATATCCTCCCAATTAGCAGTTGCTAGTGAAAGAAACTCTGAACAAATGAGGCAGAGTGGGTGGCTATTGATGCTGATGCATGAAGAAGACAGAATTCTAAATATCAAATTTAGATTGCCATCTAAATACCAAATTATTAAATATCAAATTCTAAATATCAAAACCATTTAGAGGAAACTTGTTAAGGTTGGAGGCTAAAAGTTTTGCAGAGATAAAACCCTGGTGTGCATTTATCAACTAGAGATGTAGCCATGGAAGATTCTTTGGAAGAAACCACCATTAAACATCTGGGTTTCTAAAGGCTAATGCATCTCACAGAACACAACCACTAATCTCGAATGCTAATTGATTGTCTTGGATTACTGAACTCAAATTAGATAGTCCTAAAGATATAAAATTAGCATCTATATCTAAAGATATAAAAATATTTTTAGATTTATAAGAATCTCAGACACCTATATGTTATCTCTTCTCTCTTTGGTCAAAAGAAAATTTAACAAATGGATGCTCTGGTAGATAGGTGACCTCATTGAAACAATGAATGCAAAAGCATTGCCCTATCAAGCCTGTCCTCCTCCTGTTCTTCTTGTCAATTCCTAAAGAAATTCTATTCATGATAGAGAACATATTGAAATAAAAAGGGAAAAATCCCCTTAGACCCAATTTAGGTAATGCCAGAATCATTGGGACTGGGGCCCTTGCTGAGAAAAAAAAAATGCCATCTCAAGGTCTGAGAAGGGAAGAATGCATAGCACACGTGGGTGCCAGCAAGAAGGGCATTGTGCAGGGATCGATAGCAAAGGTGCCTCGGGGAGTTCAAGGCACATCAATATATTACCGTGCAGTAGGATTCAGCTTTCACGTCCCACTCCTTCCAGAATCCATCCTTTGAGCCAGGGTTCCTCTGGAGGGAGTAGGGGGCACTATTGGCATTTGGGGGAAGGGTGATTCTTTGTTGCATGAGACTATCCTGTACATTGTAGGATATTTACATCCTTGACCCCACTCACTAAATGCAAGTAACACTTTTCAATCACCGACACAAAAACGTCCCCCATCTCTCCCTAGAGTAGACATTATTGTCCCCAGTTGAGAGCCCTACAAATCTGGGCTATATCAACAGGTAGAATAAGCGGGGGGGTTGAACATAGCTGTGAGGATGCACCACTGAGCAGGAACTGACTGAATTGTCAAAGATCCATCATTCTGTCCACATGTAGGTGCATCAGGAAAAGAAGCAATTAGCTTTATATACTGGCCAAGGAACAGTGATACCTGAAAGGCCACAATAGCCATATGATTAGAGAGATGGCTTTGTAGCTGGTAGTAAAGCAAATCTTAAAAGGAAATCAAAGACTGAAACGAACTGGAGGCAGTGTTCAAAAGAACTGACGCAGTAAATGACTCAACCCATGTTGTCATGCCCTTCCGGAAAGAGGAAGGAGGGTTTCTTTGAAGATGAGTTGCAGTTTGCTTGACATTTGCATGAAAAATAGAGGAGATGGGCTACTTTTTTAGGTTCATTCATGGACACTGAATTTCAAAAATTAAATGAAATATAAAGATGAAACAGATGAAAACTTAAAATCCTTCATATCAAAGTTATTGACCAGTTAGTTAATAAGTACATGCTCTGCTACTTGGAGTGTTCTGTATAAATGGCTGCCTCAGCTAGGCAATTTCAGGAATTCTCCAACTTTCCCAGCGTTACTGCTGAGCATCTCCCTTCTCTCTTCCACTCTTCCCATTGACCCTTCTCAGCCCGTCTCCCTGCCTTAACATTCGAGGACCAGATCATCTGTGGGGAAGAAAGTGGGAAGGGACAGCTCATCCTGCCATCGCAAGACTCCTTCCCTTCTCCCCTCTCCCCCTGGCTCTCTAAGAGCAGTACCGTTTGTCAGGCGAATACTCTTTGTCAAGCCCTGAGCTAAGGCTTTGTGTGTTTTAATATTAAAGTGGCCGCCAAAGGAAGTTTTAACAATTATCCCTCCAGAGGTTTATTTTAATTTTTTCTTGAAACTCAGAGAAAACTTGCAAGTACAATACAGATAACTTTTTTTTTTTTCATGAATTATTTGAGACTAAGTTGCCAACTTGATGCTCTGGTTTTCCTAACAATAAGGACATTCTCCTACATAACCCCGTGAAACCATCAAAATCAGGAAAAATTACAAGTGATTTAATCCTCAGACATCTATTCCTCAGACCCATTCAAGGGTCCCAGGAATGTTCTTTATGGCAAAAAGGATCTCGTTGAAAATCACGTGTGCGTTTGGTTGTCGTGTGTCTTTAGCCTCCTCCAGTCTGGAACAGTTGCTCAGTGTTTTTTTGGCTTTCATGACCTTGGCCCTTCTGAAGAGTACAGGCCAGTCATTTTGTAGAACGTTCCTCAATTAGGTTTTGCCTAACGCTTCCTTATGATTGGGTTCCAGTGATGCGCTTTTGGCAAGACTATCAGAGAAGTGATGCTGGGTCTTCCCGTTGCATCTGGTCAAGTGGCACATGATTTCCATTTGTCCCATTACTGATGGTGCTCGCTCAGATCACTTGATTAAGGTGGCATTTGCCAGTCTTATCCACTATAAAGTTATTCTTTTCCCCTTTGTAGTTAGTAAGTATTTTAGAGGAAAGTACTCTGAGACTTCATTGTAAATATTCTGTTCCTCATTAAAATTGAATTATTTTATGGATTCGTGGTTTTCTGTTTTAATAAATGGGTTATCATCTGTTACTCTCATTATTTATTTTGATGCCTACGTTGTTCCACATTTGACCGGGGGATCCTTTTCTAGCTGGCCTCTGCTCCTCCTAAGTGCTTTGTTGTTGGGCTAATTGTGTGTTGAATCAATGAATGCTTGTCCCTGTGGGGACCTGCGTGTGTCACACAGAACACGTGTCCACATTCTTTTTGAATGCTCTGATGTTTTGGATTATCCACTTCTCTGTTCCTTGTATTGCCATTGAAGTTCTAGAAGAGAGATCTCTTAGTAAACCTCTTGTTTGGTAGATGAGAAGGCTGAAGCTCAGAAAGGTGGTATGACTTGTTCAAGGTGACATATCTAGCTGGTAACAAAACTAGTGTCAAAACCCCAAATCTCAGCTCCTTTTCTAAAACTCCACTTATTGCATCACACAACTTTCTTCATCTTTAGCAAGTACAAATATTTTTGTTATAACTACTAATTGAGTTTGTGGTGTGAGTGTGAAATTAAAGCTGGTAATTTATTAAGGCTTATATCAGAGAGAAAAAAGGAAAATATAGTATTTTCATTTAAAGTATAAATTTTTTTTTTTTTTTGGCGAGGAAGATTGGCCCTGAGCTAACATCTATGCCAATCTTCCTCTATTTTGTATGTGGGACACTGCCACAGCATGGCTTGGCTGGTGGTGTGTAGGTCTGCGCCCGGGATGCGAACCCACAAACTGCAGGCTGTCAAAGAGGAGCGTGCAAACTTAACCACTACGGCACTGGGCCAGCCCTAAAGTATAAATTTTAAAGAATAAAACTGGTGGCTGTATAAGGAATTCTGCAACTTAAAAATTAATTATTTGTGTAATCTTTTCTAGAACACATTGATAAGAAAATTCTTTGATTCAGTGGACTTAAGAGATTCCTATGTTAAGAATTAGGGTGCCCAGAGAGGTACAGAAAGTTAGATGGAGAACTGGGGTTTGGCTCCAGTTCTGGTCTCTTATTGTCTATTATTAAATCACTAAGTTTATTTGTTACTCCTCCTTTAAAAAACACAAAGGTGGTGATTTTAATTTGGAGATAAAGAGTCTATAGGATTATTGTGGGGAGTAGAGGAAGAAAATACCTGAACTGTGTGAATACCTAGAACTGTCTACATTAGGGGTCTTCACCATGTTTCTGCCATGAATCCCTTTGGCATCTGGTGAAGCCCATTGACCTTTGCTCAGAATAAAGCTTTTAAATGCATAAAGCAGAATATATAGGATTATCAAAGAAAAAATATTGAAATATAGTTAGTTATTAAAATATTGAAAGAAAAAATTATGATATTGTAATGAATATGTGCTTTTTTATTAATGCTTAAATAATAAGATCTAGTGTCAGGACTAATAACTATGGTGATTTCAAAGTAGTGTATCTTGGTCTACTTGGGCTGCCATGACAAAATACCATAAACTGGGGGCTTAAACAACAGAAATTTATTTTCTCACAGTTTTGCAGGCTGGAAGTCTGAGATCAGGGTGCCAGCATGGTTGGGTTCTGGTGAGGACTCTTCTTGGCTTACAGACAGCTGGCTTCTCTCTGTGTCCTCATATGGCCTTTCTTTGGTGTGTGTGCATGGAGAGAGAGATCTCTCCCTCTTCTTACAAGGCCACCAAACCTATCACCTTAGGGCTCCACCCTTATGACCTTACTTAACCTTAATAACCTCCTAAAAGCCCCATCTCCAAATACACTCACATTAGGGACTAGGGCTTCAACATATGAATTTTGGAGGGACACAGTTCAGTCCATGGCATAGTGATAGGCATAAATGATATTTCAAAACATCTTCAACAAACTATAATGTGATATGAAAATTGCTGTGATCTATTGGTGACAAAATCACAGGTACTGCTGCTAATAGATTTGTTGCCTACATTCATCATGGAAGAAAATGCTTAATTTCAGATGGAGGTAGTGAAAATAAAGATAAGATTTTCTTTTTTTCCATCCAAGTTCACAGCCACCCTGAACAAGGTTCTATACAAGGACCCCAGGTTAAGAACCCCTGAAACATGCAAGTAAGATGTTCTTGTTTTGAGCAAACAAGTAGCATAACCCCAGGATGGTGGGAACGGATTCTGAAATCAGCTGATTCTGCCCACTGCCAGTTACCCAGGAGCAGTAAGTGTGTTGAATTGAAAAGAGACATGATCTGCTCTTGGCTGGCTTTCTGATATTTTTGAATGTGTGTTCGAGTATTGGAATGTGTTTTGTCTTGCAGACAGCAGTAACCTAAATGCTGCACAAAATGACTCCTGGACCTCTGAGAACTTCTGGCTTGACCTTCCTGTAAAGGGCCAACCAGAGACCAAGGAAGAGGATGATGGCCTTCGGAAATCCCTGGATAGATTCTATGAAATGTTTGGCCGTCCACAGCCAGCCTCCGGAGACCCACTCTCCACATCTGTCTGCCAGTGTCTGTCTCAGAAAATCAATGAACTGAAGGGCCAGGAGAACCAGAAGTATGCCCTCCGCAGTTTTCAAATGGCCCGGATCATCCTCAACCAGGACGGCTGCTCAGTCTTACGGAGGCATTCCAGGGACGCCCACTTCTACGCATCGGGAGAAGGAAGTGTGTCTCTGGAGGATGAAAAGCCGATTCCAGGGCTTTCAAAAGAGGTTCTTCATTTCCTCTTGCAGCAGAACGTGCTGAAAGACCTGTGACTGGTGCCTGGTGGTGAGAGCAGGCACCATGGAGGATGGCCCTGTGGCCGACGCTGTTGGTGCACCACCCACATCCCCTCGGGTCTCCCTTGCCAGCTCTGTGTGCCCAGCCGCCAGTGACCTGGTGCTGGAAGCAGTTCAGCCCATATGGAGAACCAGCAGGGTCTGGGGTTCCCATGGCCACCACACCTCCCACCCCATCCTACCACTCCCTTTGACCTAAGACCAGTGACTGACTGGTTTGGGAGTCCAAAGTCCCAGCTTTCTTGCCTCAGGGAAGGGCATGCTCTGAGGCGTAATTTAGTCTCCGGAGCTCCCCTCTGGATCAGGCCACGGCTAGGACTTAACACGAAATCATACTCTTGCTCAGTTCCTTCTCTTTCCCTGTCCTCCTTCTGCCCTTCACTTACTGGTGTCTCCTGGGAGCCTTTCCTTAATAAATCTCTTTTACCTGAATCCTTGACTCAGAGTCTACTTCTGGGAGAACATGACCTAGGAGAACACGCTTCTGTCAGATGAGTTTTTTGAAGGTTACAAAGCCCAAAGCTGAATCATGTATAAGAATTATACCAAGTTGTAAAACTGCAACCATGTGATTGAGAACATACGTCCCAAAATAATAAAAAGATTTAAATACGGTTCCAGAAAATGCATCACATCTTAATCATACCCTTGCCTCTCCAAAGCCAGAATTCCCTGTTTTATAATACTAACTGGGTGTGGAAGGAACATTTGGACCACCTAAAATAACAGCTAAGATTCACAAATTAAAAAAAGTCTCTTCACCTTCATCAGATTGCAAATGTGAAAAATGAGAAGAAAACAAATGTGCGCCGCCCCCCAAAGTATGTGTAAGCTCCGTTGTGACGTGCTAGGCTGACACGATGCGGCCTTGTCAATTTGTGGTAGAAGAGAAAAAGGACTCCTGACCAAGTGGACTCCTTCTTCTCATCATTTTTGCCTTCTGCCTGCCTGCTGCCAGCACCCTATGTCACCCTCTGAATGGTTGGCCCCTTGCCCCTGTCCTGTTCTTGCTTCTGACGCCCTGAGCTCCATCTGCAAACGTTTGCCACGAACAGGTGCTCCTTGCCATCCTGCCCCCGACCTTTAGGTCTGAGCTCTGCCTCGCCAGGGAGAGGCTTTAAATAGCCGGTGCAGGCTTGCACTGGCAGATGCTCTGCTCCACGGCCGTGTCCTGAACCCCCCTTTGAGACTCGGTTGGTGGAATGACCTCACCTGGCACCAAGCTCTCTGACACTGTCATTGGAAGCCTCGTACTAATCCCGACCTCGACAGTTCTTCAAACCAATTCCATTGACGGAAAGGGTTATATCACTTGTTTGGGGGAACAACAAGAGAAGCTGGCAATGCTGTGCAGTTAGATTTTGAGAAACTTTAGGTGAAATTTAATTGGCATAAGACACCATAGCTTTCCAGAAAGTGGATTATGCAAATAGATCAGCCTAAAAGTGTACATTGAAAGTGAGTGTGCCCTCCCACACAGGTCTCTTGGGGACTCTTGTATGGAGAGAGAAGCCTTTTAAAGGTCAGGTGTTATAAACTAAGGCTTCCAGTTCTGGGAAGATCAGAGGTAAGAAACAGTGTCCCACGCTGAAGTGCAGAGGCACCGCTGGAAGGAGAGCTACATGTAGGAAATAGGAAATGAATGGGTCTTTGAGAGATACTTGAGAAAACAAGGCTCCAGGTTTTCCTCTGACAAGCAATTGTCCACTTCTTCCTTCATAATCTTCTCCTATTCAACTGGCCCCCAAATAATTGTGAAGCCAGTGGAACTTATAATTGAAAATCTACAGGTTGAATTTTAAGGTCACTAGTTTGATTGTTTTTTAATGTGAAGCAAATTAATGGGTGCCTTGAAGATTGCTGTCATTTTTAGTATCGTGTAGTCACTGAAATATTGGAGATTAGTTTCCCTGGCTACCAACGGAAAGCAACTGGATTATTTTATAGTTTTTAAAGGACAAAAGATATAAGCTATTTGAATCTCCATGTGGGGAAGTAGCGGCTTCTGTTTGGCAGTGAGATTTTAGTATCAAGAATTTTGTAACCTTTATTAATATCAGTGCTGAGGGTCCTCAGCAAGAGGTAGACTCTGAAAGCAGAGAATTGTGAAGTCTAAAAGCCAGAATCACCGTAGGGTAAAAAAAGAGTGTGGTGTGTGTTTGGTTGTATCTGAGTAAGTGCTTGTGACAGGTAAGTACAAGATATTTGATTCTCTGCAATCTCGCTCCTTAATTTGATCTTCATGAGGTTAGCATGGTATTTTCCATGTATCTCTGTTTACCTTTAATAAAGACTAAGAGATAAGGATATTGAGGCTCTGGCGTTTGGCATCATTGTCTAATTCTGCCCTACGGATCACTCCACCGACATCTTATCCTGTGAACGCTCTGACGGGCCAGTGATATCATCTGTGGTCCTTCTCAGGGGTCTTTGTGAGGATGGATTTGCTGGCAGGAACATCAGAACTCCCAAGAGAACTGCTCCCAGTGTTTAAAGTTTGTGTAACTTACTTCATCAGTCTATTTCTTTGCATGACCTGTGTAAGGGCGCATGTAATAGATCTTATTACCACTTATTAGCACAAAGCAAGACAGCAATACTTTTAAAACTTTTTAAAGCTTACTTTTAAAATTTTTTATTGGATTATAATAATCACACAGAAGAGTGTTTATAAGTGAACATCTCAATGATTTTCACAAACTGAACCCACCTGTGCCCCCAGCATCCGGCTCAAGCAACAGGTAGTACCAGCCAGCCCAGGTGGCCGTCTTCTGAGTGGAGATTTTCATCTGGAGAACTGATCAGAGTGGTTTGCTCAGACCAGTGTTTCTCAAACTGCTGGTAGCACACAAAATAATTTTAGGCACCACATGCGCAATGTTTATTTTCATTGTCATCTATTCAATTTAATGTGTTAGAAAAGTATATAACTACTACATCTAATCCATGCTTGTACAGATATTACATAGGATAAGCCTAATATAAGTATTTAAAATTTAAAAGTGAATTGAGTTAGTGAAAAAGTTAAATTAATAATAGTGCAGGTAACATGTAGATATGTCAAAAATTATAAAAGTAGTATGCCAGAAAATGACTGAAATTTGCAATACAATAGGATAGATAATCCATTCTACCCAGTAGTCTCCCACCATCTGCTGGAACACTGCAAGAAACTTCCATCAAGTCAACCCACATCTAACTTTGCCTCTCTTTACTCTGCAGCCATAGTGCAAATCCTTTTAAAAAGCAAAACGTACATGAATAGCCAGCAAATTAAAGAGAAAGGACTAGGCTTGTCAAACATGAAAACAGTTTTAACTCTATATTAATTAAAGCAGCAACAAAACAGAAGTAGACAGATCAAAGAAAAAGAATTAAGTCCATAAATAGATATAAATGCACATAGAAATTGAGCATTTGATGAAGGTAGCATTTCAAATCCATAAGGAAAAGTTAGAGTTTTTAGCAAATGGTCTTAGAGTAATTGACTCCCCACACTGGGGTAGGAGAGTAAAAAAGGCTAGATTCTTCACCTCACTCATGATATCAAAATGATTTCTAGGTGGATTAAAGATTTTGAAGTAAAAAAATCAAATCATAAAAATACTGGAAAAGGAAATGAGTGATATAGATACATACATAGATAGAGATATCTAGATATCTTGGACTAGGGAAGATCTAAGAATGACACAAAACTTGAAAATCATAAAGGAAAAATTTTATAAAATTGACTTCCTAGAAATATTAAACTTCTGCAGGGGAAAAATCTTTAAGGCCACAAACAAGATCAAAACTAGGAAAAATACTGGGAACACATAACAGAGAGACTTTTTCTTCAACAAACAGAAATTTATAAATCATTAGAAAAACAATCAAATAGAAAAATTGTCAAAGAACATGAACAGATAGGTAAGAAAAAAGATATATATAAATGGCTAATAAGCATGAAATTATGCACAACCACAATCATAAAGAACTGCAATTTATGAGATTAAATAAATTTTAATTTACTTAAATAAGGTACTCTTTGTTGTTTTGGATTTGTTTGTTTTTGTTTCCTGATTTTTGTATTTTGGAGTATGGTAAAAGGTTGGAAGGAATCTGGCGCTGGCAAGGGTGCAGGAGACGAGCACTCTGCCTGACTATCAGCAGGGGAGTAAATCGGCATAGCCTTTCTCAGGGAAAATTGGCAACCTCTATCAAAATTATGAAAGTCTTATCTTCTTTGACCGAACAACTCATCCATTCTCCAACTGGGACTGAGCATCACCCTACAGCTGGGGCCACGGCAGTGAACCAGACCTGGAGGGTCTCCTGCTCTCATGGTGCTCACCCTCTAGGGAGGGTGACAGACAGACAAGGTCATTTCAAAAGGTGAGAAGTACTCTGGGGTAATGAAGGATGATATGGTAGCACCTGCGGGTGTGTCTCTAGACCGGGTGGTCTGAGAAAGACTGATGAAAAGGAATTTGAGCTGAGAGCTGCAGGATTCACAAGTACCAGCCGCAGAAAGGTTGGAGCATCCAGGCAGAGGGATCAGCTTGTGCAAAATTAGTGCAAAACAGCCTGGAATGAGCTCATGGTGTCCAGACAGAAGGAAGTCCCATGTGGCCGGAGCACAGTGCACAGAGGGCAGGGGGATAGATGACTTTCAGAAGTAGGCCAAGGCCTTTTAAGCCAGGATAAGGAAGTTGAATTTTATTCTAAAAACAATGGGATGGGCCGGCCCCGTGGCTTAGCGGTTAAGTGCGTGCGCTCCGCTGCCGGCGGCCCGGGTTCAGATCCCGGGTGCGCACAGAGGCACCACTCCTCCAGCCATGCTGAGGCCGCGTCCCACATACAGCAACTAGAAGGATGTGCAGCTATGACAGACAACTATGTACTGGGGCTTTGGGGGAAAAATAAATAAATAAAATCTTTAAAAAAAAAAAAAAAAAAAAAAAACAATGGGAAATGACATGAGGATTTTTAGCAAGAGAATAAGAAGATATTCCTAGAAACTTAGTATGTGTTAACAGTAACATTTCAAAACACTGGTAAATGTTGAATTACCTGACTATTCAATAAATGGTGAGATCCCCACCTCACACTATACACAAACATAAATTCCAGATGGATTAAAGAACTAAATGTAAAAAATATGACTATAAATGTGCAGATAACAATATTGGTAAGTGTTTTTATAATCTTTGCATGAGGAAGGCCTTCCTAAAACAGGTAGCAATGCAGACAATAAAAGATCGAGAGGTTTGACTACATACAAATAAAAAACTTAGAGTGAAAGATATATATGTGATAATGGTATTGTGGTTTTGTAAAAAAATGACTTTATTTTTTAGAGATATATACTGAAGGGTCTCCTGCTCTCATGGTACAATTTAGGGTAAAATGTCTTAATGTCTGTAATTTACTTTAAAATACTTCAACAGAAACGAGATGAAGTGGATATGACAAAATGTTAGGTTACCAAAAATCTAGTTGATGAGTATATGGAAGATCACTATTCTTTCTACTTTTCTATGTATGAGATTTTTATAGTAATAAATTTTTTTAAAAGAAAGGAAAAACAAGAGACAAACGGAAAAATTTGCTCAGATATTAACAAACAAGAGTTTAATGTCATAATATATCAAGAGCTTCTGTAAATAAATGCTAAAATGGCAAATGAATAGGAAAATGAACTAAGAGTATGAATAGGTATTTCACAAAAGAAATGCAAATTGTCAATAAATAGGAATAGCTGCTCGATGTAAGTCATATAGAAATGCAGTTTTTAAAAGGTGTCGCCATTTTTAAATTTGTATGATTGGCAAAAAATTGAAAAGATGAATCCTGTCTAGTGGTGACAAAAATATAGGGACATGGACACTCTAAAATGAAAGCAGGTATGGCCTTTGTAATTAAATAAGTAGCTAAAAAATTTAAAATATAGACCTGAATTTGTCACGTACCCGCTTCCATGCTTCCCTTCGCCCTTGGTCTAGCAGCTGGCCTCTGCCCAGCTCATTGGTTCACCCTGACTCTCTTTGCTGCAGCCACAGTGGCTTCTCAGTTGCTCAACACGCCACCTCCTTAACCAACATGTTTTAAGGTAGGATTGTGGCGTCCTAAGTGTCAACCTTCATTTCAAACACCATTGTTAACTAACTGGCTCCATTTTACAGAGGGGGAAACCAAGGCACAGAGTGCTAATAAGTAATGGAGGTGGCGCCAGAGCCCATACTTAACCCCAAGCTGTCCTTCTCCATTCTGTGCTCCAGGATGCTGTCCTTCCTCCCACCCCAGGGCCATCCCACAGGGTGCCTTCCTCAGAGAGAGCTTTCAAGACCACTCCTTCATACCTTCCCTCCACCTCCCACCACCGCTGGGAGGGTCTCCCTTTTATATACGCCAAGATTACCATGAGCTTCACCTTCATAACTTAGTTACACCAAACAAATGTAATAATGCAGTGCATGGTTTAAGTCTCCCCCTACTTCCCCATCCCCCACCCCTGCCAAAGGAACGTGAGCTCTGTCTTGTTCACCCATGCCTATCACATCCAGGCTGGCAAACCCCAATGCTCAAACATTTATATTTATGAAACAAAATGTAGGAAAATATCTGTATTGTTTGAAGACATATACTGAAGGATTCAGGGGTAAAACGTCTTAATGGCTGTAATTTACTTTAAAGTACTTCAGTGGAAGCAAGATGAAGCAGATATGATACATTTCATTTATACGTTGGTTTGTGTACATCCAAATACATGACAAACCAGCTTGCTTTTTGCTGCATTTTGACACAAGATACTTTTTTTTTCCTTTTCCTCTCTCTATTCCTGTTCTCTCAGGTCATCTGGCAGTGTTCAACTCTCTCAGACTCTACTTTCTTCTCCAGGGGAAAATCCCTTTCCCTATGCATCAGAGAACTCAGTCTTCATGAGCAAGTTTACATTCACAGAAAGAACACGTGCAAGTGATCCCAGTGAGAGCCCCTTTGGGGTAAATGATTCTGTTGCCAAATAGGCTTATGGACCAGGAGTCAGGCCTGTTTACCTGTTTGCAACCCACTGGCCTTATTCTCTCTCTGCTTTTTTCTTAGACACCTGAGAGCTGTGCATTGGAGGTAGTGGTTTTACCAGCAACTGAACCAAGAACTCTCCAAATCCCCCCAAGTGAATCCTTTCTAACCACTGCCTCACCAGGTGGTGCATTCACAGAAGACACGAGATTTAGGATCCTTCCTCTCTCTGTTATTTTTTCCTCTGCCTCCTTCAACATTTGCATTTAGTGTCAGATGCCTTAAGCACATTTTATTATTTCATGAGAATGTAATTCATGTGTATTCGAACTGTGAAAGTGTTCCGATTGTCTTTGCAAGATCCCCCTGGGATCCTGATTAATGCTTGCCACCTTCCTGACTCTAGAGGTGGATGGCCCATCTGGGCGGAAGGTGTGGAATTCTCGGACATTCTGGTTAGAATTCTTGGCAGCAAGGATGCAATGCCTCACCCTTCCCTGATTTTCACGTTCTCTCCCCACTGTCTTGTATCCTCAGCTCTCTCCCATTTCCTCTCCCTTTTCCATCAAATGTTTACAGGCCTCCTTTATTTAAAAAAAAATTGCACACACACACACATATATACCCATGCACAAAAAAAGCCTTCATTTAATCATGTTAGTTTCTGTCCAGCTCCTCCTCTTCCCTTTGCTCCCATCTTCTGGATCCAGGAAATAGCTAAGACACGAGATACTGGAATTTGGAGACAGAGAAGACCTTGAGATCTGGTTCTGACATTGTGTACCCACAGGCATGTCACTCAACCTCCCTGGGCCTGAATTTACTTATCTGCGAATTGTAGATAATAGGTGATTGTTATGTCTCTGAGTCTTTATGAGGTTCACATAAGTTAATGACTATTCAATATATAGGTACACAAAAATGTGCCTGAAAATGCTTTGTAAATTATGGAGGGCAGTGAAATTGTCAAGTGGCTGCATTTGTTCCATGCTCACTGGTTCTTTATCCCTTTCTAATATGGCCTCCACAGCCACTGCTCCTCAGTTGAAGTTCCTGTCAGCCATGACTGTGACAAGCAATCACCTCCCTTAAAAATAAGGCCTTTGTCAGTCACCCCCTCAAACCCCAGCAGGGCCCTTAATGTCCAACAGGAAGGAGTCGTTTGTTGAATTATGGCATATCCACATTATGGACTACTATGCAGCTGTAAAAAGAATAAGGAAGTTCTTTTTATTCTGATGTGGAAATATATCCAAACTATATTATTAATTGGAAAAAAAAAGGAGAAAAACAGTATATGTAGGAAATTACCATTTGTGTGGGGGGAAATGGAGGCAAAAGAGAAATGTTTTTGTATGCATAAAATACCTTTGGGGGGATACAGAAGAGATGTAACTCTTGCTGCATCTGTAGAGGCGAGCTGGGAGGCTGAGGGACAAAGGTGTATCCATTATCTATGGCTAAGTAACAAACCAACACAAAAATGTAGTAGGCAGAAGACTGGCCTCAAATATGTCCACGTCCTAATCCCTAAAACCTGGGAATATGTTACCTTATGTGGCAAAAAGGACTTTGCAGATATGATTAAGTTAAGGATCTTGAAATGGAAAGAATATCCTGGCTTATTCAGATGGACCTGATGTAATCGCAAGGGTCCTTATAAGGGGGAGGTGGGAGTATCAGAGTCAGAGAAGGAGATATGACAATGGCAGCAGAGGTCAGAGTGATGCCATTGCTGGAAGGGGACCACAGCTAAAGAACGCAGATAGCATTCCTTCAAACAGGCAAGGAGTGGATTCTCCCCTAGAGCCCCCAGAGGAATGCAGCCCTGCCAATACCTTGATCTTCCCCTCCAGACTCATTACTGGATTTCTGACCTCCAGACCCAAAGATAATAAATTTGTGTTGTTTTAAGCCACTAAGTGTGTGGTCATTTATTATAGCAGCAATCAGCAACTAATACAATGGCTTAAACAAGTAAACCTTTGCTCAAAATCCTGAGTATACTTCCAGTACCAGGAGAAGATGGTATAGACTCACTTTTCCTGGCTTCTCCCCTTTAAATACAACTAAAGGCCATGGAAAGAATTCAACAGATAATCATATAAGGACTCTTAAATGTGGGAAGAGGAAAGTGGACTGGCTAGGGACCTCAGGACTTGAAGAATACCACCAGGGTGAATTCCCTGGGTTTTCTTTGTATCTTCCATATATCCTGGGCACCAGCCAGCCTGCAACTTGAAACGAACAACAGACAGAGAAAAAGAGAGAGAGAGGGAGGGAGGGAGGGAGGAAGGGAGGAAGGAAGGAAGGGAGGGAGGGAGGGAGAGAGGGAGGAAAAGTCTGCTCTCTCTGGCTCAAGGAAGGAAGGAAAGAAGGAAGGGAGAGAGGAAAAGTCTGCTCTCTCTGGCTCAAGGAAGGAAGGAAAGAAGGAAGGGAGAGAGGAAAAGTCTGCTCTCTCTGGCTCAAGGACCAGGAAAGGAAAACTCCAGCAGAAACTTAGTGGGCAGACTCATACGCAGCGGCAGTAGCAGGTCCAAACTGCTCAAAACAGCAGCAAAAAGCAGAAATAAGTTTCCAACCCATCTTGCACCCCACAGCCACAGACAGCAGCAGACTGATCTGCCCACAGCAGTGGCAACAGCAAAATGCAGGTGAGCCAACCCATCACACGCCCTACCCCCACCAGCAGCAGTGGGTCCTATCTACCCACATCAGTGGTAACAGCGAGACACAGGTACCAAGCTCATCCACTGCCCCACACCAGGTGACAGCAGGCAGCCCCTCCACCTGCACTGGTAGTGCTGGCAGGCCCAGTGTCTCCCAGCCGTCCACACAGTGGCAGAAGTTGACCCAGGGCATCCCCCTATATCTGCCTAACAATACCAGGCAGCCCAGGGAAGCAACTTCACCCATGTAGACATCACATGTAGGGCTCCAGTGGGAGCTTAAGCAGAGCCAGAAGAACCAAGTAGACCAGAACAGCATCGCCAGGGCTCAGAAAACTCAACTGCATTGAAACTATAGCCTATAAAAGTAAATCTTAAGAAAAAAAATACTAAACAGGGTGGCTGCCTACTAAAATAGAAGATTTATGTAAGATGAAGATTATCCTAACAAAATATGCAAAATGTCCAGGATACAATAAAAAATCTCTTGTCCTACCAACAACCAGGAAAATCACAACTTTAGTGAGAAATGGTAATCAACTGACACCAATAGTGAGATGAATCAGATGTCGGAACTATCTGGCAAAGGTTTTAAAGCAGCCACCATAAAATAGTTTCAGCAAGAATTATGAAAGCCTTTGAAACATACGAAAAAATAGAAAACCTCAGCAAAGAAACAGAAGTTACAGAAATGAACCAAGTGGAAATTATAAAACTGAAAATTACAACCACCAAAATAAAAAACTCACTGGATGGTCTCAATGGTAGAGAGTGGAGATGACAAAAGATGGAATCACTGAACTTGAAGACAACTCAATCAAATTTACTCAATCTGAGAAACTGAGAAAAAAGAGACTAGGGGGAAAAAGGAATCTGTGGTGGGCTGGCCTTGTGGCATAGTGGTTAAGTTCAGCATGCTCCACTTTGGTGGCCTGGGTTTGCCAGTTCAGATCCCAGGCACAGACCTATACCACTCCTCAGCCACGCTGAGGCAGTGACTCCCATACAAAATAGAAGAAGAATGGCACAGATGTTAGCTCAGGGCGAGTCTTCCTCACCAAAAAAAGCAAAAAAAAAAAGGAACCTGTAGGACAGTAACAAAAGAGCTAATGTCTATATCATCAGAATCCCAGGAGATGAGAAAGATTGTGGGGCTCAGCAAATATTCAAAGAAATAATGGCTGAAAACTTCCATTTGGTGAAAGACAGAAACCTACAGATTCAAGAGCTAAGTGAATCTGACATAGGATAAATCTAAAGAAAACCTCATCAAAATTAAACTTCTGAAAACTAAAGAAAAAAATCTTAAGAGCAACCTTAAGAGCAATCTCAAAAGCAGGGAGAAATGATGCATTACTTATAGGCAAATATCAACTCAAATGACAACAGATTTCTCCTCTGAAATCATGGAGGCCACAGTGAAGTGGCACAACATTTTTCACGTGCTAAAAATAAAGAGCTGTCAACCATGTCTTCCCCAAGCTCCTGTCCTATAATTCTAATTTCCCATGGGACATTCTAGTCAGATATATCCTTGTCACCTTAAACAAAATGTATAACAAACCAAGTGTATCCTCTTTCCCACAGACTGATTCGATGTCTCTAATCCGTCAATGGCATTAACATTTTCTAAGTCACTCAGGTTTGAAAAAGTGTGGAATCATCATGACTTTTACTTCTAAACATCCCACTATTGTATGCAGTGGTGCTTACGAGCTGAGACCCGCGAGTCAGACTGCTTGGGTGTGAATCTGGACTCTACCATCTAGTAGTATGTGTCCCTGGGCGTGTTACTTAACCTTACTGTGTCTCAGTTTCCTCATCTGTAAAACAGAAATAACAATAGTATCTAATTCAGGATGCTCAGATGAGTTCACATTTGTATGGTGTTTAAAACAGCACCTGGCACGTAGTGCTGGTTTGGGGGGTTTGGGGGGCTTTTTTGCTTAAAAATAAAAATTCTTACGTCTGCCTTTTCTTTCTCTTCCCACTGCCATCACCTGCTCCAAGTTTTCTTCTCCTTAAGACCTTCTTCAAGGTTTTCCCTGCTGCCAGCCTCTCCCACACACTGTTGCTACCATATTGGTCTTCCTAAATCCAGTCAGTACTGGATCCCATTCCTTCCCAACAGAAACCTTCCAGGCTCCTTAATACCAACAGGGTGAAGAACAAACCCAGGTCCACGCTATTCTCACCCACGTGTTGGGCCCTCTCCTCAGTCCTCAGACCTTACAACCAAGCTCTATGGCCTCCAAAACATCCCATCCCTTCTCCAACCACCACGGCTCTACCCAACTACGGGCTTATGCCTTAACCCTACACAGCAGGACCAACTTCTAAGTATTAACATGTGTACATCTTCCTTCCCCAAATAGATGGAAAGTTTCTGAAGGTCAGAGAGTTTATCTCACCAGGCTAGGAGCAGACCAGTGCTGGGTAAAGACTGATCAGACGTGAACTTGTTCTGTAGTCATGTCTCCTGTTCAGCCTCCTAGTGGAGACTGCTTGACAACGTGTCCCTTTTTCCTACAACTGAACCATATAATTTTAAACCAGGAGCATGGGATCAGGAGATGGAAGGTGCTCTGTACCTTCTGAGAAA